GGCATATGGAACTGTGAGTCAATTAAACCTCTTTCCTTTACAAATTACCCAGTCTTGGGTATGTCTTTGTCAGCAGTGTGAGAACAGACTAATACAAGCATACACCACAAAACAGCTCATATTTTCTATTTATTCATTTCTTGAATAGATTATATGGTAATACCACTGAAAATTCAGAAGATACAAAATGTATAAAGTCTTCTTCCTGCTTCTTGTCTCCCAGTCACAATTTACAACTGTGGAAGAAAATAACATATAAATATTTCTGGGCCAGGTGCGGTGGTTCACGCCTGTAATCCCAGCACTTTGGGAGGCTGAGGTGGGCAGATCACGAGGTCAGGAGTTCGAGACCAGCTTGGCCAACATGGTGAAACCCCATCTCTACTAAAAATATAAAAATTAGCCAGCCATGGTGGTGGGCGCCTGTAGTCCCAGCTACTCAGGAGGCTGAGGCAGGAGAATTGCTGGAACCCAGGAGGCGGAGGTTACAGTGAGCTGAGATCACGCCACTGCACTCCAGCCTGGGCAACAGACCAAGACTCTGTCTTAGAAAAAAAAAAAGTTCCCATTCTCTACCTCTATTTTAAGAAAACAATATTATTAATTTCTTATTGTATTCTTCCAGAGAAAATTAATGTATATGCAAGCACACATGTATTTAATTATTTTTAACAATATTGAATGCAAGTGATAGTATACTAAATGCATTGCTTTTTTTTTTTTTTTAACACTTTTTTTGTGCCTAATAGCACATTTGGAAGCCATTCCAAACAAATAAGTACATTTGGTTCCCTTCTCTTTCTTTCTTTTTCTTGTGCCTCTTTTAATATTTTCTTTCTATAGCTTCTTACATTGAACCTTTGTATTGATATTAATTTGTATTGATGATATCCTTTGATTTTCCTATTTTTTCTATTATAAACAATGCTGTAACATGTGACCTGTACATATGTTATTTTCTGTGTGTTCAAGTATACGTATTCTTGTTTCACTCATGTAAAATTCTCGAGTGAAAGTTACATACCATCATAATTTTCATAGATACTACTAAACTGTACTTAAGGCAGTAGCAATTAACACTTCCATCATTTATGAGCTCACCTGGTCCCTATGATCATCAGCACAGTGTGTTATCAAACTTTCTGATCTTTGTTAATCTGATAGGTGAAAAAGTACATCTCAGAGTAGTTCTTATTTCTATTTCTCTTGTAGTAAGTCAGGCTGAGCATCCTTTAAATTTTTAAAACACATTTCTGAAAGCAACTTAATAAATTAGAAAAATCTTCTAAATGTTATATAAAAACAAAAGGTTACAAAAATTTTATGTTTAGTATGAACCTAGTTTTGTTAAACTACACACATATGCGCACACACACACACACATGCTTTAAAAGTTGTCTCTGGGTTGAAGGATAATGGATGATTATTAATTTTTATTTTTAAATATCTTTTCACATTTTATAAGCTTTCAATTTCTTAAGAGCCACCTTTATTTCATCTTCTGTAACTATCAGTTCATATCCTTTGCCAATTTTTAAATTCAGTAATTGTTCGTATTGATTTGTATGAGCTCTTAATATATTCAGAAAATTAATCTTTATTTGGAATGTGAGTGGCAAATATTATTTCCCAGTTTCTTGTCTTTGACTTTGCTTAGGTAGTTTTTGCCATGTAGTATCTTTTTACTTTATGTAACCAGATTAAATAAATCATTTTATGTTTGTTTTTCAGTTATCATGGTTAGAAGGGTCTTCTCAACTCTAAAATTATCTTTGAAGTCTCCAAAATTTCTTCTAATATTTAATAGTTCCTTTTTTAAAAAACATAAATTATTTGATTCATTTGGCCTAGTATAAGATGTGAGAGAGACATCCAAAATTTTTTCCACTTGGCTAGCTAGTTGTTCTAACATAATTTATTGAATAATCCATTATTTCTTTACTAATTTGCAATGCCACTTTTATCATATACTACATTCTCATTTTTCTGGATGTCTACTCTGTTTTATTGAGTATTGATTCCCACTGTCACACTACTTTGTGTTTGTTAGCTTTGTAACATGTGTGTTATTTCATGGGGTTAGTCCTCCCTCATTACTTTTTCATTTTCAGAATGTTTTGGCCATTCTTGCTTCATTTTTTTCCAGATTATGTTTATTACTGTCTAAAAAATTTTTGGCATTTGTTTCAAGTTACACTAAATGTAGATACATTTAGGGAAATGTTATATCTAATGACACTGGCACTTTCCACTCAATAGCATGGTAGCCTTTCTCCTGTTCAAGTCTTCTGTGCGTATATCTGAAGCATTTAAAAGTAGTCTTCATATAGATTGTGATATGGACAGGATGCAGCAAAATACTAGGTAGAAAAGGGTGGGGTCCTTCTTGAAGCCCCACCCTCAAGTCGGGACCTGAAGCCCAAAGTGAGAACATGCATTTCTGTTTTCCCGCTGAAATGTTGTCTTTTCCAAATTACCCTGGCCTGCTCCACCCCCACCCCCGCCATCCTGTGCCCATAAAAACCCCAGGCTCCACTAGCAGCAGAGCGTCAGAGGAGAGAAGAGAAGCAGCAACTTGACACTGGCAAGAAGCAGCTTGACTTAAGAGGGTCAGCTTGATGGCAGGACCTTGGAGAGGAGTTTGGCCGTAGATGGCCTAACTCCAGGGTAAGACCACCTTCCCGCTCCATCCACTTCCAAGCCCGTCATCCCACTGAGAGCAAATTTTATCAGCAATAAAATCCCCTGCATTTACCATGCTCAATTTTTTCCTGCGACCTGATGCTTCCTGGATGCCCAACAAGAGCTCGAGATACAGAGGGCTATCACACTGAGCTGTTAAACACTAAAGCCGTACATGGATGGCAAAGCTAAAGAGCACTGTAACACATGCCCTCTGGGGCTCCAGGGGTCATGGGTACCCCCCGAGATGCTGCCGCGGGGCCGCAAGGAGTTCTGCTCCTGTCAGCATCCAGAAGAACTCCTCCCAGTCCCTGCTCCCACTCACCTGCATGGGGTTGAGAGCTGCAGGCTGAATAAACAAGCCACTCCCTTTGCGAGGCCTATGAAGGAGCCAGGGAAAATTTCAGTCGTGCTCATTTTTTTGTTAACTTTATTGCTCTAGTATCTTATCTTTTGTTGCTGTTTATTTTTTTCCTTCCATGCTTCATGCTTTTATTATTTATAATAATATTTTAATTCCTTCTCTTGAGTTTTTTATTTATACAACCATCTGCAGATAATGATACTTACACCAGGAAACTTCCACTTTTTAAAAATTCTTTAAATTAATTTCACTTCTAGTTGTACTGAATACTATGTAGGGATAACATCAGTTAATAGGGTGAGGGTAAACATATTCATCTTTTTACCTGAATTTAATGGAAATAATAATGTTTTCTCATTAAGAACAATGCTAGCTGTTAAATTAGCCGGACATGGTGGTGCATGTCTGTAATCCCAGCTACTTGGGAGGCTGAGGCAGGAGAATTGCTTGAACTTGGGAGGTGGAGGTTTGCAGTGAGCCAATATTGTGCCATTGCACTCCAGCCAGGACAATAAAGTGAGGCTCCGTCTCAAAAAAAAAAAAAAAAATGCTAGCTATTAAGAGATAGATATATTTTATCATGTTAGGAAATAACTTATTTTTATTTTAAGATTTTTAAAAATAATTAGGAATGGTTGTTGAATTTTATTTTTCAGCACTTATGAAAATCATATGATTCTCTTTGATATTATTTATATGGTTAATTATATTGATATGTTTTCTAATATTAAACCATTTTACTTTTATGGAATAAACCTGTATTCTGGATTTAAATTTAATACTACATTTTATTTAGTATTTTTGTATAAACACTGATGAGTGAGGTTTATTTGTAGTTTTCTGGGAGACAATTTTTGTTAGGTTTTGATATCTAAATTATATTTATTTCACAAAACAAATTTGGAAGCTTCCTTTAACTTTCATGCTGTGAAACAATTTACATAGACTTCATGTTATCTGCTTTTAAGAAGTTGATAGAATTCCCTTGTGATCACCTGGTGCCAGTATTATTTGAGGAGTGGCTCTTCGCCACTTTCTTAGCTCAACTGTGATGATTATTCTGCTGAGATTTTCTTGAAGTCAATTTTAGTAAATTATATTTTTCTAGGAACATCTATCTTATCTACGTTTTCAAACTCTAGCATAGACTTAAACAAAATAGTTTCTTAAAAGTACTGCAATTTTTCTGATTTGTAGTTATTTTTCTTTCATGTCTTATTTTATGTATTTATGCCTTTTTTCTTTCTTGATTATATAAGCTAATGATGCCAATTTTACTGACTGTTTTCAATGAACCAGTTTTTGTATCCATTTTAGCATTTTTATATTTTATTTATCAAATCAATCTTTAATACGTTCTGATTTCCTTAGATTTATTTTGTAATTATCCTAAATGCTTGGTTTATATTTAAAATTTTTTATTTTTATAATTTTGTTTTATTTTTAGTTAACATGCAATAATTGTACATATTTATAGGACCCAGTGATATTTGGGTACATGGGTACCATGTGGGATGATCAAATAAGAGTAATCTGCATATCTATCACTTCAAACATTTCTTGTGTTGGAAACATTCAAAATCCTCTCTTCTAGCAATTTGAAAATACACAATAAATTATTGTTAACTATAAGTTAACCTACAGTGCTGTGGAACTCTAGAACTTATTTCCCCTATCTAGATTTATATATATATATATTTTTTTTTCCCCTGAGATGGAGTTTTGCTCTTTTGCCTAGGCTGGAGTGCAGTGTTGTGATCTCGGCTCGGCTCACTGCAACCTCTGCCTTCTGGTTTCAAGGGATTCTCCTGCCTCAACCTCCTGAGTAGCTGGAATTACAGGCGTCCACCACCACGCTTGGCTAATTTTTGTATTTTTAGTAGAGACAGGGTTTCACCATGTTGGCCAGGCTGGTCTCGAACCCCTGACCTCATGACCTACCCCCCTCGGCCTCCCAAAGTGCTGGGATTACAGGTGTGAGCCATGGCACCTGGCCTAGATTTATATTTTTAACAATTACCTCTTTATATCTTATTTACTCATCTGGGCCCTTCCTGACTGGGCTGATCCACCACCACTATGATGTGCTATTCATTCGAGGTTTTATTACCTGTGCTTTCCCACTAGAGTGGAAGATCTGTGATGACAAGAGCCCTGTTCATTGTATACGTAGCACCTGGAATAGAATATGCCATATAGTTGGTGTTCAGCCAATACTTGTTCAACTAATAATTGAATGATCCTCTACTTATACACGTCACAGGACAGAAACAAGGGCTTACTGATGAGTTACATGAAGTGAGTAAGACAGAAGACACATCCATGATTGTTCCTAACATTCTGGCTCACCAGTGGAAATAATGTGGCACTATTTAATGAGTTTGTATGTTCTACTTTTGAGCTACCTCTCACATAGGTGATTCAATATAGTTTTTATATTCTAAAAGATATTTAAAAATGAATTTTTAAAATTTGGCAATCGACTTTTTAGTACTGACATTCAAGGATCATCAGATATTTAAGGAAAGACTCAATCATGAGAGAAAACAAACTAAAACACATAGAAAAATGAAACCTGGAGGAAGAAAAAACATAGAGGGAGTAGAACATAGTTGAAACATGTCTAATGATTTTTTTTTCATTGACTGGAACCTTTTCTATTGAAATATTGGGTATATAGGCAGAAATTGGTGGATTAGTATATTTACTAATGGGAAAAAGAGGATTGTCCTAATGTTGCCTGTCAAAGATTTTAAGGGCTGAAATGGGTCAGAGAGAAGAGAGATTGAAGGTTTGGAGACTGAGGAAAAGATGTGAGATAGTCATTGTGGGGACTTTAATGAATGACTTCTCTAGGGAAATATGGAATGGAAATGCTCAATGAAGTTACTCATTTGAGGCTGAGGAGCATGAATTTGTAGGAACATGAGCTCATCCAGTTATGAAATACTCTCAAGTAACAGTCAGCTGCTTAGAAGCAAACACAGAATGTTAAATAGTCATTTAAATGTGGGGTTATTTCACATTTAGAAGGGTCAGGAAATTAGAGTATTGTATGATTTATTTATATAAAAGCTATATTAGGGAAATTTTCAAACATACTCTGAAATAGAATAGTAGAAAGAACTCCACGTGCCTGAAGCCTTGTTTTTTAAAAAACATAGCATAAGAATAACCCAAACCACCCCATTCTCCACTCCTTTGCCCTCTGTTGGATTAATTCAAAGCAAATCACAGATACAGCTCATTTCATCTGTGAATACTGAAGCTGTTTTTGAAGGGTGAGTATAATGATTGACCAGTAATCCAAACTGAATACGAAAGGAAGAGAGGAGAGGCCTGATAGAGGGATAGAGAATATAGAAGTGTCAATGAATTGAAAGCCTGTGATGTTTCTATGGCAGCCCTTGAGCAAATAAAATGGAAAAATAAGAGGTAGTGATAGGAGAGTGATTTGCTTAATGCTTAATTTGTGATTTGTTTGCATTTTTAATAAAAATCAATAGTGAGAGAGTCAATAACAAAACAATGTGCATAATCCTTTCTCTCAAATCTTTTTTACTTAGCAATTCTCTAATAGAAATCAATATAAATCTTTCAAAATTTTGAAATTACTGAATACATGTTCTAAGTAGTTCAAACAATGCATAAAGGCATAAAATAAATTGTAAATATTTCATTTATTTCCCAGATACCCAGTGACACCACTCAGAAGACCTCTGTGAATTATTTTTGGTATATTTGTCCAGAAACTTTGTATGTACATATATATGCATACAAATATATAAGTATTATGAAAAAAAGAAATACAGATGGAATCATAAAAGATCTCCTTGCTTTTTGCACGATGTATTGGAAATCTTCTCATCTCAGGAAACATGGCGTCTATCTCATTTAAAAGAGGTTAACATAATATTCATTTCAGACATTCAATTCCCCTCATTCATGAATAGTGCAGCTGTGAAGAGGCTCTTGCACATATTTTTGCTTATTTATACAAAACCATGCTTAGAAAAAATTCTTAGTAATTTTTAGAATGAAAGGTGTTTTATGCATTATTAATTTTGATAAATGGTTCCACATTATTTTGGTTATATCTTTGAAAGATGGAGACAAAATGCATTTCAAACTTCTGCTCAGAAACCTTCCCAAGTAATCTAAATGTGTTTAAAAGGCATGTGGAGGGAGAAACAGAGTTTTCAGGAACTCAAGTTTCAGAACATTCTTTTATTTTGGTGGTTATACAACCCTGCTACACAGCAGAATCACCTGGAGAGCTTAGAAAATTGTGTAAGTTCTAACACTAGAAATTCTGACTTAATAGATCTGAGATTGGGTTTGAACATTGGTATTTTCAAAAATCAACCCTAGAGATTCTAACGTGTAGCCCAGTGCGTAGAATCACTGCTTTAAAGAGAGCAAGGGGGGGTAGAGGGCTCAGGTAAAGAATATGACAGCACCACTAAGATTGTACCCATGAAGCAAAAGAGAAATGATCAATCTCCTATATTAAAAAGCCACATCGGGGGAAAGGGTCAGATGAGGGTTGGAGAAGAAAAGAAGAGAGAAAAGAGAGGTCTAGGTGAGGGAACGGCAGAGCCAGTTAGGTCAGGTCCTGTGGTCTTCTTGGGTGCTGGTCACAGAGTCCACTCTTTTGGGTAAAGATGAAGTCGGTGCTGAAGCTGCTTCCAGGCTCTTCTCAACCCAGGGTTATCCTTAATCAGTAGAATTGAGTGGCTGGCAGGGTAGGCAGCCATGATGATCTGGCACAAAGTATTCCACAGACTGTTGATGTCAAACATGTTGGACAGGTAGATAAACAGAGCAACTGCATTGAAAATGTAGAGAATGAGAAAGTAGCTGGTAGCTTTAATGGCCCCAATGTGAGCCTCCGTGCTAGGGTCCTTGGACCCTGTGGCATTGCTTCCCATGTGTAGGGTGTGTCTCTTGAGAGAGAGGATCAGCAGAATGGCTGCCAGGATGAACATGATCAGAGGAATCACAATCCCCAGGTTAAAGAAAAAAGCCAGACTGACCACACTGATCTCAGAGAAGTATGTTTTCTCAGTGGAGTTGGAAGAGTGGATAGGGAAAGAATTGTCACAATACCCAGTGCAGATGTTGATGCAGAACATGCTGTGACTGAAGGAAATAAACACAGACAGCCATAGAAGCCAGGGTATCAATCCAGAAATTCTCCACCTCAGCTTGAGGAAAAGGGGATAGGAGAAATTGGCAATCTTCACAAAGTAGAAGAAACTGAGCCAGGCAGCAAACCACAGGCTACAAAAATTTAAGAATATAAAACTTATTTTGAATGCATAATATACAGCGTCTTCAGAATAAAAACTTAGGGAGGTTGAGCTGATGGTAATTTCTAACATCATGAGGCTCTGGAGAGCTATTCTGGATACACTCAGGAAAACCAGGATCCTGCCACTTGTGGAAACTGACTTATTTTGAACCCATTCAGCTGCATGTATAGCCGTGATGAACCCATTTGCAATGATACCAGTGAGGTATTCAGCAAGTAAAACTGCTAAAGTTAAGGTGATGAGAAATGGCGACAATTCACTTTCTGCAGGATCGCAGAGTTTAATCATCCTGAGCTGTTGCTTCTCTTTGGTGTTTGGAGGAAAACATCTCCCTAGCATTTGATGGGCAGATTCTTGATAACTCCCAGTATTCATGTCACAGGAGGAAGCAGTTGATGCATCATTTCCAAATTCACTCTATTTGTTTATTTCAGAATTCTTAGCTCTACATCTAGAGATGCAAATGTTGGGAAGGATTTGGTTTCTAGTCCTTTCCCTATTTTTGAATATGTTGGTAGTAGTTCAATAATGAGGCCCAGGGAAGCACTTGAGTAGACTCTCTTGAAAAGCAGCTAACATGGTACTGAGGTCCGTGTTCTTTGGTAGCTTCAGTTAATTTGAACGCTGGTTGACTGAGTCATCATTTAACTTACTTTCACTTGTGACTGCAGAAAATGACTGAAAATAACTGCTACACACACACACTTCTTATTTTGTGCTAGGAAGTGTTCAAATTATTTATTTATAATGACTACATTTAAACCTCACAATAACCTTATGAGCATGTGCTTCTACTACCTCCATTTTGCAGATGAAGAAACTAAGACATACAGAGGTTAAATAACGTGGTCAACATCACACAACTAGAGTGTGAAAGAACTGGGATTCACACCCAACTCACCTGGTCCCAGAGTTCCTTCTCTTATCCACCACGTTATGCTGTCTAGACCTGTGGATTCTTTTGTGTGCCCAAGACTAAATGCAGGGTTGATTCCACTGTGACATTTTTTTCCTGGTAGCCTTTTATGTCCCTACCCCTCTAAAGAAAAATCAATAAAGCAAGAAGACACTGATTTTCAAGAGATAATTTTCAAAGTAAATTACTTGAGAGGTAATAAATTTAATTATACATAAAAGATCATACACACACAGACACATACACACATTCACCTTTCATTTTAAGCAAAACTAGGAAAATAAGAGTTGAAGGTAAAACTCCCTAGTTCTTAGTAAGGTAAGCGTAGGGTGCTGAGAGTAAAAGCAATGCCCTAATTCATCCAATTTTGGAATATTAAAACCAAAAGAAAGGAAAAAAGAATCACTTTTATCTTAAGGAAGTTTTTCCTGAATTTAAAATGTAAGCATAGGACACATAATGATAAAATGAACTTTTCATTTCAGAGTAAATTAATTTTTATGAATGTATATGACTTTAAAATAATGATGAAGTAATTTTCATAAAGAAGGTTGGTGGGTGAGAAGTCTCAGAAAATCTTTATAACATTTGGTTTTTACTTAAAGCTTTTAAAAACAAGGCAAGAACTCATAAATGTTTTCTGGCTTGATTTATGATTTTAGATGAGTTGTTATGAATTTTACCATCTCATTTGAAAATCTCTATTCCTGAACAAATATTTCCCTTGAATACAGTGTAACAGACAACTGCTCCTCCCTGCTTGTTTCTGCTCATTTGCACGAGTAGGCCTGGAGTATCTCAGGACCTCCAGTTTGGTTTTAAGGAGGATTTTTCTTGCCACTGGCTTTCCCCTACTTTTGCTGATCCAGGCTTTCAAGAGTGGGAGGAGAAACAGGACAGGGTCCCTTCAGAGGCTGTTTTGTCTTTCCTCATTTGATTTGCTTATCCATGTATCCCACTCCGAGCTCCTAGCCCATGCCGGATACCCAGGAGGCAGTACATAGATACTTGCTGGGTTGATGTATGGCCTTAGCGAAGACCTTCAGCTCAGAGAAGCTCTTTATGAGGGACATGAGGGGGAATGGCAGTTTCACATCTCCTCAGATTTGAAAATCTGCAGGTCCTATGCCTAAATCGAGTGTCAGAGCATAAACAGCAAGGCTGAGGGAGAACACAGCAGACTGTGAAGAACATCTGTGTAAGAAACACTGGTCGGTGACAGAGAGGACAGATGAAGGGGAAGCAGAGACAGAGCAGCAGGATGAGAAAGAGCTCAGACAGGGTCTGGCTTCACAGTGTAGGGTGCTGCAGAGGCTGTGGGCAGCAGCTGGCGCCACAGACATCACCAAAGGCGTTTCAGAAGACGCTCTGCTTGCCATAGCTTATGAAAGAGGTGCTTCCTGCAATGGAAAGAGTTTTGTTCATGGAAATTTCCAGGGGCAATCTGAGGGGAGATGAAATAACCTTTCTGGGTGAAAAGATGATCTTCTTAAAGTAACACTGTTGGACTAGTTCCTAAATGGCGCCTTCAGTTTCCTAAATACATCTTGGATGTATTCAACTCCTATTTCTAATATTAGGTTGGTGCAAAAGTTAATTGTGGTTTTTGTCATTACTTTAAAAAAAGGCAAAAACCACAACTGCTTTTGCATCAACCTAATAATTAAGGAAAGCTTATGAAGAAAACTCTGATCCATTAAGGACATAGGGAATAGTTTTTAAAAGTCTAGTTTATTTGGCTATATTTTTAACTTATTATTGTGAAGTAACTTTTGACATAGAGATGAGTTGTGAAGATAGTACAGACAATTCCCATATATCCTCCACCCAGCTTCCACTAATGCTTACATCTTACATAATCATGGTACAATGATCAAACGTAGGAAATTGGTATTGTTACAATACGATCAGCTCAATTTTTGGCTTCATTTGGACTTTTCCAGTTTTTCCACTAACGTCCTTTTTTTCTGTTTCGAGACCCAGTCCAGAATACCACATGGTAATTCATTGTTGTTTCTTTCGTCTCTTCCAATTCAAAACAAATTCTTGCTCTTTCCTTTTCTTCTATGACGTTGACAGTTTTGAAGAGTCCTGGTCAGGTATTTTGCAGTGTATTCTTTGATTTGGGTTTGTCTTTGTTTTCTCATAATTATACTGGGTTAATGGATTTTGGGGAAGAATACCACAGAGATGATGTGCCCCTCTGACTGCAGGGACCCATGATGTCAGTGACTTTTACTGGTGATGTTAACGTGATCACTTAGTTAAGGTGGTATCTGACTAGTCTCTCTACGATAAAGTTACTCTTTTTTTCCTTTTATGCTCTATCAATTAGAAGTAGGTCACTGAGTCTGGCCCACACTCAAGGGGAAATGAATCAGACTTCACCTCCCAGAGGAGAACTCTTGAAGAATTTGTGGACATTATTTTAAAAACCAACACAGAAATATTCTGTAGGAGATACTTTGAAGCTATGCAAATATCTTCTTTTTCCTAAAACTCTGATCCACTGATTTGAGTATTCATGAGGGCATGCTGCCTGCAGCAATTAACATTACTGTGGCGTTATACTTTTTTGTTTTCCTCTTTCCTTTCACCTTTATTAATTAGAATTCTTCTTTAGGAAAGAATCGTTCCTCCTCTCCCACTTATTTACTTCATCAAACATTTATTTGTATCCCTGTGCACTCATGGATTTTTATTTTATGTTTTGACTTGCAACTCTTATCAAAAATCAGTGGACTATATTTGTGTGGGTCTATTTCTTCACTGTCTCTTCTATTCTTTCTTTCTATCTATCTATCTATCTATCTATCTATCTATCTATCTATCTATCTATCTATCTATCTTCTGTCTACCCTTTTGTAAAAAACACACTGTTTAATTATTATAACTTTATAATAAGCCTTGAAGTCTGACAGTGTGAATCCTCAAACTTTATTCATGCTTTTCAGAGTTGTTTTACTGTGAGTGGAGTCTCTGGAAAAATGTTTGAGCAAATTCTTTTCAGCAGTAACTTTGGTTAATTTTAAGATTGTTTTTCTTTAACTTTCTGCAGTTTTTCTACCACAAATGCAGTTTGGATTTTATTAATATTATTATTATTATTTAATATGTCTTGCTTGGCATTCAGAAGGGACTCTAGATATAACATTTTATATATATTTTTTTAAATTGAAAAACTTTCAGCAATTTTTAATATTATTATTATTTTTGAGATGGAGTCTTGCTCTGTCACCCAGGCTGGAATGCAGTGGCATGACCTTGGCTCACTGCAACCTCTGCCTCCCGGGTTCAAGTGATTCTCCTGCCTCAGCCTCCTGAGAAGCTAGGATTACAGGCATGCACCACCATGCCCCACGAATTTTTGTATTTTTAGTAAAGGTGGGATTTCGCCATGTTAGTGAGGCTGGTCTCGAACTCTTGACCTCAGGTGATCCACCCATCTTGGCCTCCCAAAGTGCTGGGATTACAGGCGTGAGCAACCTCCTGGCCAGAAAGAACTTTTAAAAGCTTTACTTTTATTTCATGAATGGGATGAACACAATCTAACCATTATTTGAATTAACTAATTTTTTGATTTGAAAGACTCTGGTAAAATTGATATAAAACTGATGTCATGTAATTGGGAATTTTTTCTTCTACAGATGGATTCAACATATTATTAGCTTTCAATTCCTTTTTTGTACATGCACAGAAAAACCTTGGAATTGAAAATGTATACTTGGGAATTATACTTCTTTCTTTCCCATTTAGAAGTCTTTTATTTCTTGCCTAATTGCTCTGGCTAGGACTTTCAATAGTATGTTTAATAGAAGTGGTGAAAGTGTGCATTTTTGTCTTGTTCCTGATCTTAGCAAGATTTTAGTTTTTCATCTTGAGGATGATGTTAGCTGTGGGCTTGCCATATACGGACTTTATTATGTTGAGGGACATGCCTTCTGTATCTAGTTTGTTGAGACTTTTTTCTTATGAAAAGGTGTTGAGATTTGTCAATCTTTTTTTACTGCATCTGTTGCGAGGCTTGTGTGATTTTTGTCCTTTATCCTGTTAAGTGGTATATGACATTTATTGATTTGCATTTGCAAAACCATCCTGGCATCTCAGGGATAAACCTGACTTGGTCAGGATGTAAGGTTCTTCTAATGGGCTGTTTAATTCTGTTTATAATATTTTGTTCAGAATTTTAAATTTATTTTCACAGAGATATTGGCCTGTCATTTTCTTTGCTTGTAGTGTCTTTGTCTGGCTTAGATATAAAGGTGATGTTGGGCTCATAAAATAATTTGGAAGTTTTCCTTTTTACATTGTTTTGGAAGAGTTTGTAAAAGTCTGGCATTAATTCTTTAAGTGTTTGGCAGAATTTACTAGTGAAGCCATCTGGTCCTGAAATTTTTTTTTGTTTGGAAATTTCTTTGTTTGGAGATGTGGCACACATCTGTAGTTTCTGCTACTCGGGAAGCTGAGGCAGGAGGATCCCTTGAGCCCAGGAGTTCAAAGTTACAATGATCTGATCTTTTAACTTTGATTTTTTAGAGACAGGATCTCACCATGTTGTGTAGGCTGGTTTGGAACTCCTGACCTCGAGCCATTCTCACATCTCAGCCTCCCAAAGTTCTGGGAGAACAGGTATGAGCCACCACACCTGGTCAAGTTGGGAGGCTTCGGATTACTAATTCAGTCTCCTTACTCGTTATTGGTCTCTTCAGATTTTCTGTTTTTCATGATTCATTCTTGATAGGTTGCATGTCTCTAGGAATTTATTTCTTCTCATTTATCTAATTTGTTGGTGTTTAATGTTCATAAGAATCTCTTAAATGTCCATTTCATTTCTGTAGCATCAGTTGTAATGTTTCATCTTTCATTTCCAGTTTTATTTATTTGATTCTTCCCTCTTTATTTCTTACTTAGTTTAGATAGCAGTATTGGACCAAAATGAAAGGTCACACTCTATTGAAAGATGTAAATCAAATGCATCTTCTGCAGATACACATTGATGTCATTTTAGGCATAGTCTTTTTAAAGTGGCAACTAAAATTTTTCAAGTCAATGCTGAGGCTCCCGCAGCAAATTTGGTCTAGGGCTTTCAAGTAGTCAGTGATGTTATTATAGCCATTATGATAGATGGTAAATGGCAACAAACATATTGTGCAAGTTACATGTTCATCATCAACTTCCTTGAAAAATGAAAATTCCAGTAATTAATTTTCATTATCATACATTTTGTTTTCTTGAGCTCATTATGCCAAAAGCTTGATTGAAAAAAATGTCAAATAATAAAATAAGTAGTTGTAGATATTTACGCCTCACAAAAAATGACAAATTATCATCACAGGAACATTCAGACCTCTCTTTATATGTTCTATAACAGGACTGCTCAGCCTCTATTTCCTACTCACTTTTCCTGTACAGTGAAGCTATAATTTCTCACCTTTTCCCACTGTTCTCATCAACTAGTGATCTGAAGTTTTCATAAAATTCTCAGGTCACAGCAAGAGCCTTGGCACGGCTGGTGAGTGGGGCGGGCCGGCCTTGGCAGCAACATTGTTTACTTTCGCATTACTATCTATGGCTGGAGAGAGAGGGCTGTCCTGAGCCACTTGCTTAGGAGTGCACTTTATTTTTGCAGTAAGTTCCCTGGATAGCATCCTTCAAAAAGAGGTATTAGCGTCCTTCTATTTACGGAAACTATAGGGAACAGCCAGCTGGGTTTTTAGGGGAGTAGCTCATATATTACTAGAGAAGACCTTCGTAGAAGTTGGAGTACAAAATGAAAGTGCCAAATTCATCCTGTCATATTTTAACGTAGCAGACTAAAAATTAAAAATAGGGCACAAATGCTAAATCTAGAGAGGGCACTGGAGCAAAAGGCATAGACTAATATGCTTGTGGGAAATTTCTCTAGCTCTAGCAAAATTCTTTAACATCATATTCTAATTTACAACTATTATTGGGTCCATTTCACAGTTTATTCCTTTTATTTGTGTCTTTAAAAACTTCAGTGAATATATTTTTCCTTTGCAAAATTTCTAATTGGTTACTTTTCCTGTTTACTTCTTTTTGTTTTATTTCTGCCCCTTTAAAAAAATTTCTGCCCTTTTAAGATTATACCATTAGTTAAACATTAGCCCGGCATTAGGTTTCTATGTTGTGTCTTACAGTTTGGGTCTGGTGTTTCATCTTGAACCAGGGAGTCTCTCCTTTCTCCATAATCACCCTCCCTGTCTAGCAGTTTCACCGTGTTTCAGTCCCTTCTTCCTGGTGCTGTGGTTTCCCAGTGAAGAGCCAAGATTCTTGCCTGGGGCTAATATTGTTGGTATTGCAGATGCTTAGTTTCTATGAGTTGCAGCTCTTTCAGGTGTGTATGTTTCTGGTAAACACCTGACTCCTGGTTATATGTAGTTTTCCTTCAAAATGGTGTCTTTTCCTCTTACTACATTTCTATTTTTTTTTTTTTTTGAGACGGAGTCTCGCTGTCACCCAGGCTGGGGTGCAGTGGCATGATTATGGCTCACTGCAAGCTCTGCCTCCTAGGTTCACGCCATGCTCCTGTCTCAGCCTCCCAAGTAGCTGGGACTACAGGTGCCCGCCACCACACCTGGCTAATTTTTTGTATTTTTAGTAGAGACGGGGTTTCACAGTGTTAGCCAGGATGATCTCGATCTCCTAACCTCGTGATCCACCCGCCTCGGCCTCCCAGAGTGCTAGGATTACAGGCGTGAGCCACCGCGCCCGGCCCACCTCTCACTACTTTTCTGACCCTAACACCAGACTAGAATTTTAATGAGTTTTACAAAATTTTGATTTTCTTGCTAAGGACCATAAAAATGTGTCCTTAGCTGAAAAGCCTACACCGAAAGAAACATATCAAATGTCTTGTAACCATTTACTGCCACTGATATCTGATTTGATGCAATTGTTTTCTTTTTCTTTCCTTCCTGTAGGAGTTGCTGTTGGGGCTCCACTGTCTTTCCTTAGTAACGATCATTCTTGAACATGGTGAAACTTATTTTAGTTTGTGTTCCTCCAGGGACAGACTTTAAGACCAAGATTTGAGTAGAAATTTTTTTAGTTTTTAATTTTTTTAATATTCAGACAATATAAGGTTTTAAAAAATAATGGTACATTATTAGGCCAGTTACCACAGTGGAACACGGAAGCTTCATCCTGAGAGGAATCTCTGGCAAGTGCTGTGAAACATGTGACTCATAGTTCTCACATCTCACAGACAGAAAAGCGTGGGTTCTCCATGCCAATTTTCCCGTCATTGGTTGAGGGTTGCTCTTCAGGGTTTTTAGTGACCCCATCCCCACTTACCCCTGAAGTCTGCAGTGTGTGGGCAAAATGACCTTTCCTGTCTCTGGGGAAGTCCACTAGCACAGAGAGGCAGGTATGGCAGGTTGAAATTGCTCAGAGGGCACAGGGATGGTAGGGTTCGAGGGATGGACAAGGCACTAACGATAGCTCCCACGGCTTCTTACTGTACACACCTGCAACTCCAACCTTGGGGAATCTCTTGGAGTGCAAGACCATACTTCTACTCTTTGTTTCTGTGAGACTGACTATTTTAGTTACCTCCTGTAAGTGGAATCTTGCAGTATTTGTACTTCTATGCCTGGCTTATTTCATTTAGCAACATATTCTCCTGGTTACAGGTTCATTCATGTTTTTTGGTTTTTGTTTTTGTTTTTTGGAGATGGAGTCTCACTCTGTCACCCAGGCTGGAGTGCACTGGCGCAATAGTGGCTCACTGCAACCACCGCCTCCCAGGTTCAAGCAGTTCTCCTGCTTCAGCCTCCTGAGTAGCTGGGATTACAGGTGTGCACCACCACGCCTGGCTAATTTTTTGTGCTTTTAGTAGAGACAAGGTCTCACCATAGTGGCCAGCCTGGTCTTGAACTCCCAAGCTCAGGTGATCCGCCTGTCTTGGCCTCCCAAAGTGCTGGGATTGCAGGTATGCACCACATGCCTGGCCAGTGTTTCGTTTTTTTAAAGGCTGAATAACATCCCATTATGATATTACATATATACAAATATATATGAACATTCCATAATATTCCATATATATATAAATTTCTTTATGACACATAAATAAATTTTTGAGAGTTTTATTATAATTTATTTACCCATTTGTCCATTGGTTGTTTCTATATCCTAACTATTGTGAATAATCCTGCAGTGAACATGGAAGTGCAGTGCTGGTGTCTCTTCA